CGCAGACAGACTCAGGCATGAACTAGTGTTTGTACAAAGATCTTCCAGTGAACTGAGTGTGTATGCAAATGTGCAAGAAGCTAAGCAAGTGTCACTCTGTTTGCAGGATTAGTGTGTGCTCCCTACTGCAACGTGTCTTACTTTTAAGCCTCAACATAAATCAATTTACAAGAGTGAGAAAAGTGAGGACAGATTGAAAGTGGCTGATAACAACACGTCAAGGCTAGTGACCAATAAGAATCTATCTGGGTTGAAAAGAAGGTTTTGAAGGCATTTTTGGGTAATCTCATGGTATAAAGAGATCAATTAACATCAGAATTACCTTGCAGGACTTGAATCTTGCTTTATAACCCCTGCAGGTGTCCAAAGAACAAATTCTTCCTTTGTCATGGAGATTCAAGTCAACCTGCCATAGAAGCTGGTCCTCATGGCATGTCTTGGCAAGAGTATTTTAAATACATAACTGCATAGCTTTTAAAACAGTTCCAGTGCAGATGATGAAAACCAAATTCTTGGTCCAGACACTGGTGGGCAGACATGGGTGTAGCACAGTTCTTTTCCTTAAGATCAGTTTCAGTTGTTATGGGGGGAAAACAGAAAGGCAAAGCAATGCACAGACAGTATTTCAGATGACAGTTTTGGTTACACTGTAGTAAAATTTCTGGGCTACTGACGTTTGGTTTGCCTTTTGACAGGCTCCTGTCATCGTTTTCCCTTGTGGTTTCTTGAGGCGTAAATGGGTTTCATTAGCCAGCTGCTGCATCACTCCTGACTGCTTTTCCTCTTGGTCCCCACTATGTAAGAGCTGGGCCAGCTCCCTGGCTGCGTGAGAACCCAGAGACACAGAGATACTGTGGGAAGTGTCACAGTTGGACAGGTGACAATCTTCCCTCTGGTACATACAACCGCTTTTTCTACTACAGTTCCCACTAGAAGTTCCCCATAAAGGTGGAAAACATTTGGATAACCTTTGCAACCTCTGGAAAAAAAGCCAGATAGAAAAATCTGTTGCCTGTCTCTGGCAATGTATTCGCAGGTTAGCAGCAGCCTCAGAGACAGCCTGAATAACTGATCAGCAATAATTTTCTTTACGAAGTAGTTCCTTATAATACTGCCTCAGAAAATGTAGTCCCACCAAGAACTTCATGGCTTCAGAGCAGCTGGAGTTGATTATTGATTTGTCTGCTACAAAGACTGCCATGTCTAAGGCAAATATTTGGGAACTGACACTCTTTATACTCTGATTTATATGTTAAATTACGCAATAGCTATAATGAGGTCAGGCTCTGACTGAAAATGTAGATCTTCACCAAGAAAAATTGAATGGAAACCTTGAGCCAAGTTTTGGCCCAGGACTTGTTACACCGGTACCCATCCGTATTGCAGATGGCTGGTGTGATCTTTGAAATACCAGCAGGGGCAATTTGCCCAAGGCCAGTAGATATTAAAAAGAACCCCAAGAAATAAGGCATTAATGTGTCTTCTGACAGTTTGTAATGGTTGTTTATCAAATGTACTCTGACATCAGAAAAATTAAGTGATTCTGCAAATCTCAGTGGGCACCTACCTGCCATGTCAGGTACCCAGATAATTTTGAAAATCTGACCCCACCTAGGACTCAGTTTCCTGTTTCTGCAGTGGTGAAACAGCTCTTCCCTGCTTAACAGGGATTTTGTGAAAAGAAACACATGTACTGAGACATACTGAGGCATTCTGGTAATGAGAACCATGAAAATAATTAAAATAAACATTCTCCTTGCTTGGGAATACTGGAAATTGCCTTTTGGAATCTGCAGAGCAGAAAATCAATAAGAGAAAGGGAACAAACATAAATGAAAACACATCTTGCCCTAACTGAGTCTTTACTCACTGTGGAATTTAGAGAAGATCTAAAAGTTTGCTACAACAATTTTGCTTTTTTTTTTTTTTTTGGTTGTTGTTATTTTTTAATTTTTAAACCACCTTCCATATCCATCTTATGAAAGCTACCTCTCCTGGGGCTACCTGGAAGGTACAAGCAGAACTGAAGGGAAACATCATGGCCTGCGTCTCTGCACAGAGCTCACCTACATTGCTCTTCTGAATCTTGAGGGTTAATGAAAAGCAAGCCTGAGGGAAGGTCTTTGCACTGTAGCTGAAACCCAAAGCACAATAACACTTCCAGTCATCCCTGAGCTTGATACACTTGAGAGGTGAAGCAAGGCAGAGATTATATTAGACTATTTTCATGGCCTTTTTGACTAACTTGCTCCCACATGGGCTCTAGTTTGAGAGAAGGGATTTGTGTCTCCACCATCACAAACCAGGGCAGCCCCAGAGCTGCTCTACTTCTTTCGGCAGCAACAGTTGCCTTGATTCCTAATTAAAGCAAATTTATACCCTCTTTACACCCTCTTTACATTACTGATGTCATGCAAAAGGGAAACTGAGCAAAGCAAAACTGACTTCTAGGGTGAATATAAAACCTTTTTTTTTTTTTTTTTCCCCCAGGAATCTATGTACATTGAAGAGTCCTCAAATAAAAATGGCGTGATATCTTTGATTTTCTCTCTGAAAGAAGAAGTTGGGGCATTGGCTAAAGTTCTGCGCACATTTGAGGTAAACTTTTTCCTTCAGGAGACCCAAACAGGTCTTTAAATTTTTGCATTGCAGCAACATTTGCTCAGGGTATTTCTGGTTATGTTTGTGATTCCATTTAATTGCCATAATGGGAGAAAGCAGCACGCACTTATTTTCTGGGGTTAAAATCCCTTAAAGTCTTGGAGCAGAAGCAGCCTTTTTAAGCTAAATTTTTATTTCAAACTTCTAAATGAAAACCTCTACTTTTAACTGATATGAGGGTGTAAAAAATGCATTTTCTCAATTTAAGATGGAAATATTCCACTGTAACTGCTTGAGTAAGGGGTAGAAGTGAATTGGGCCATAACCTGAGACTGATATCTGAGTATATATATGTATATGTGCATGGATATGTGTATATATATGTATAGAAAGGCAAATATAACCTGCACATGAGCTGTGTGACTTATATAACCTGTGTGTGAGCTGTGTGACTTGTAGTGCACGTGTTGCATGAATTATTTTTACTGAGGAGAACTACTATCCTCTTAGCGCTTGTCCAGATCAGTAAATCTGATTAAAACAAGCCCATCATCTCCCAGCAGCAGTGCTTCTACAGAGTGTGTAGAGGGTACCTACAAAGCAGCATCAAAATGACAGAGCTTTGTTTATACCAAAGGGACTCAGCAACTCGTACTGAGTGATTTGGAAAGCTTTTGGGAAAATAAGGAGCCGTTTACCTTTCAGGACATTGCGTGCCTATTTATTCTTGCAGAAATATTTCCCAGATGTCACGGATGCTGTTCAACAAGCACAAAGCACTTGCAATTCAGGGTAGTTGTGTTGCAACACACACAGCTGTGTACTCTGTGCTCCCAAGTGAATACAATGTTATACTGGGTTTGCAACTTCTTTCTTTTCAGAACATCATCATGTAATAGTTGTGCCTGAAAGCAGCTTTTCTACAGAACGCTGCAAAAAGTTGTGGCCTGCATATTTTCCATTCGTAAACTGAATTGACTAGGAAATGAAAGGTTTGTGTGATATTAGTGCAAATGAAAAATAATTATGAGTTATAGGACATATTTGTTTCATTAAGATGAAGGGGAATTCATAGCAACAACAGCAGAGCTAGTCTAAATCTGTGAATTGACCACTGTAATACAGTCCTGCAACATGGCGTGCATACCTCTAAGTGAATTAAGGAGGCTGTTGATATTCTCTGGTTAATGCATTGCTGTCTACTAACCAAATTGTTGTCAGCTCTAAAGGAAAATCTGCAGGGGAGGTAGTATAGGAGAGAGAGAAGTAGCCGCTTCTTGGATGTGACCCTTTTTGCCACAAAGCAGGTACCTAAACTAGACGGGCTGAGTCATGGTTTTCCCCAGTGGCCCTGGTGGCAACCAAGGGGATGCAGCTCAGCTAAAGATCTCTGCACTGGTGGCTGGGTCATTTCCCATCCCAACGAAGCCAACTCTTTCTGTGTAAACTTGCAGTGTCCCCAGAACCAAGGCTTGACAAGGGACCTGGCATAGGTGCTCTTATATCAGTTTTGCATGTTGTTGGCAATGTAATAGGGAAATGGACGAGTGGCTGGAGGAAAGTGATTTAGTGGTACAAGCCTGACCTGCAGCTTCAGCTCCTCAGGGCTGTCATTAGTGAATTCATGAGCATTGGGGTGTGTAAACCAGAGCAGCCCTTGAGCTGCTCTAACTCAGTGCAAAGGACCTCATCCTGTACACAGTGGTGTAAGACTCGTGCATGCACGGTGAGATAACCTCTACTCTTTCCCACCTGGGCCATAATGATGGTGCCTCAGAGACACGGACTTTATGCTCAATGACATTTGCAGCAGAGACAGTCAAGGTGGTGATACGCAGGCGAAGGGTGGTGACAAGGAGAAAGGCCTTGAGAGGATATTTTCTTCTTGTACTCCTTCCCTGCTTAATAAAATCAACCATGAGATTCAGGTTAGCTACAGAAATTAGTTCAGACTCTTTGTTGTTGGGCTCCGCTGGGCAGGGAGAGCCCTTGCTTTGTCCCCAGGGTTTCTGTTGCCAGCTCAACGCTGGCCCTGGGAAACACAATGGGTTTGTCTCAGAGGGGCAGCACAGGGAGGAGATGTGAGGGTGGGTGCTCTGGCTGTCATTGCCTCATGCAACCACATGAAGTAGGAAAAAGGAAAACACAAAAGCTGCAAAATATGATCAGACTGTTCCCTGGAGCACATGTGGCACTGCAGCCATTGACACCCACAGAGGGTCAGACCTTGTGCAGCTGCTGGTGCTGATGGTCATATGTGGTGCGTTTGGGGTCCCTCTGATCCTTGTTGAGGCTGGGGCTGCCCAAGCTGCTGGGGTCTCTCTGCGCACTCGCGCGTGGGAATGCAGGCAGAGAGCACAGCTCAACCCTCTCCTCCCAGCTCTCACTTGGGAGTCATTAAGGGCCAGTGCCTCCAGCACTGGCTTTGAGGACTTTGCCTCTTCTCTAGCCAATCTATAAAACTACACTGGAACATGAAGCAGGGAGGAGGAGGGTTAAGTGAGCTGTAAATATGAAAGTCTTAAAAATAAATCCTCTCTCAAGACAGGGAGGAAAGCATGGAAGCAAGATCCAGACTGAGACAACAGGGTATTGAAAGGATATCTAAAGAAAGGAGAGATCTCACAGTGCTATTGGCAGCCAGGCTGTCTTTCTGTAAAGGAGGTGTCTGTGTGGTCCTGGGGAGATTCACCTTCTCTCTAGTTTAAGAGCTGGAGTAAAAATTTCTGTTAACTCTGGGAGGGCTGTTCAGTCACTCTTGTGTTGCTGCCCAGGATGCAGGAACAGCTCCTCACTCCCAGGTTCACATCCTGCCCAAGTCCTTCCTCTTTGGTGGGGTGAAATTTGGCCAGGAATTAGCCCCCACCACAGCTTAATCTCCATGGGGAGCAAGAGCCCAAAGGGAGCTGAGCTATGCTCCAGTCTGGCCCTACACCTGGATAGCAGGAGGTCCAGGACTGCTGGCTCATCAAGAACCATGGCTGGTCCCCAGCCCAGACGTAATCTGTGCTCACCCAGGAGGCAAACCTCCCAGGGAAGGAAGCAATGTCCAACCACCGCCCAGATGAACTGGCTAAACCCCATCGTGGCCCAGGACGGTCTGAAGGCAGTGGAGCCTCTTATCCAGGTTGGTGAATGCACAAGGCCAGTGGCTACAGAGAGAGTGCTCATGGCACAGTATTACATCCTGTAACGGAGACGCCAAGTTTAAGAGAATTTCAATGTGCTTTGGGGAAACATTAATGTTTGTCCTACTTAAACATCCCTCAGGGTTGCTCATGTAGTTGACAGAGTGCTGCATACTCTTGTGTTTGTTTTTTTGCACAATGACCCCAAGCTCTTGTTTTCTGTACAGGTCCCAGTTGCACACAAATATGTGGCTACAGTGACAACTGATGCTTTTCCTATGTAGCTTGAAGGCTTTTTTTTTATGAGGAATCTCCTCTATGTACTCAGCTCCTTATGTCTGCTGGTTTTATGTCTAAAATGTACTTGATTATGTCCTCTTTTTTCTTATGTTTATTCTTGATTCATATTCTCTCTAATGTGTTTCATCGTTGGGCCAGTGCACAATGTCCAAAAAGAGCAAACAGTCTGTGTGGAAGAAGGGCTAGACTCTCAGAAGAGCAGACACATATTTAAGGAAAGACTATATGTCTTTTTAAGCTGAAAGCATAAAAGCAAACCCAGAACATGTCTATGGAAGGATTCAACATTCACTTTGCGTGGGAGGAGAGTCCTTTCTCAGTCTCACACACAAAAATAAGCAGCACTCAGGAATAATCCCCCAAGCACCAGACCTCAGCAGGCTCCTAAGTTCTTCTGACCCCTGGCTCTTGACCCCCCTCTGTTTTGCAAATCCTTGCCTGGCTGTGTGAATCTGCTCCTCCTGGACTGCTCCGTACACAGGGTGTCCTATGCCACTGTTGACAGTACAGGCCCTGCAGTCCTTTCTCCACCTTCCTTGTGGAGAGGCAGCATTCACGGGGATAGACTCACACTCTGACATGTTCTGTAATGTAATAGCAGCTCAGTCACGCCCAGCAATAAGCAAATTATTAAAACTGAATCTACTTTGCTTCCACGCTGCTCTGTTATTTATTAATTAAATTATTTTGTACCTGAAAAGCCTATTTGTCCATAATCTTTATCTGTTCTAGCATACATACAGCTTCCTTCTGGGTTTTGCTTGGACAACACCTCTCTCTTTATTGCGAGCTTGAGGGTGGCCATAAACCCACCAGCAGTGTCTTTACACCAACTTAATTTTAATAGGAACTGCTTACACTAGGGCACTACTTGCTGCAGCCATACGCCCTTTGTCTGGTTCCTGCTACTGCAGAAAATGGTAGCTAGGAAGCCAAAACTTGAATAAATACCTGTCTCAAAGAGAACATCATACATAAGTAAAACATCATGCTTAAAATCAGGAAGACAGAATAGTCGTTGTGGAATTATGTTTCTTTTTTAATTCACTGGGCACATGAAGAAATTACAGAGTATAAGTCCAGGTAAGAAAAAGACAGAAATCTTCTGAGTTTCTTATCAAAACTGAAAAAGCAAAGTAGAACATTTTGGATTAACCCAAGTGGTGCACTTGATGGGAATGTTTATTTTTCTCTGTAGTGATAAAAGCCTATTGAAATTGAGGTCACTTTTTTAAACAACAACAAAGTCCATTCTGAAAGAAAAAAAGTGAAAAAAAAAATTGTTCGCCCTCGAAGAGTGGCATTTCCAAAGTTAAATTAATCATTAAAAATTATCAGAACTAAACATTTAAGTATGTAAAAAGGATTGCCCTGAGTTTTGATTGAAATTTTTGCACATGAATTTGTGAATACATTAATCCCCTCCAAAGTTCTTTTCTTGATGGATTTACAAGTAATAGAGGACATGTCAGTTGTAGTATGTGGCAAACATTGTGTTGGAATATATTACGAGTTTGCTCAACCCATTCTTATAGAGGAGCCTTCTGTCTCCCCTTCACTGGCATGACC